TCATATATTTTTGATTTTGAATTTACATTGGATGAAATAATCTTTGATTTGCCAAGATTACGATAAACATTTGTAAAGAGATTTAATAGGAAAAGTGCGATCCGTTTTTCAAGATATTCCAACTGTTTTGCTGAATATCTGATATTATGATTTTTAGAAAACACATTAGTAAAAGAGTTGTTATCACGCATCTGATCAATTATTCGTGTATGTTGAATAATCTGATCTACTGTATTTGATTTTTGTATTTGCCGTCGAAGTGAGCTATGGAAGTTTTTTACATAATAATCATTAAAAACATGAAGGAAATCTTTGAAAACTTTTGAAATAGGATGATTAGTATTGGTCTAATAAAAAATATCGCTTAAAAATGCTAAGGGTAGCTTATTATAATGTCTATATTGATATTGATAGAAAATAGCCCAAACATGAAACATAGCTTCCTTATATGCCAGCTAATCTCCACTACGAAATATGACTGAATAGAAATCTAAAACCAATGGAATAATATTGTCTAGCAAATTAATAAGATATCTGACTTCTGGATCTTTAGAATACTCAAATTTTCGCAGAATTATTGAACGTATTTGAAACCAGCCTTGAAATGCTAATTCTAATAACAAATTGATTTTGTAAGGTTTTGGCTTTTTCGCCAATACCTTCTGATGTCCAAATACCTCATGAAAGAGCTTGTCAAAAATTTGATAATTTAAAAGAAACACAGTCTCACGAATGTTCAAGGATACATGCAAAGGTCCAATTATTGGAATAATATGCAAGATTTGTTCTGGTATTCCAGAAGAATCTCTAATGTTGATACGATGAGTGATGGCACGCCGTATATTAAGTTGACCAGGATAATCCATTGGTGCTACTAATACCCGCATTTCCAAATAATTTTTCACTTCTTCATGAACATCTATCATGTGTTTAAGAGCATTCACATAATTTTCAGTCGAATGAAGTGATCCTTCCTTTAAATCTACTAGTTTCGTATTCTTCATGCTTCGATCAGTCCGACGTTCTTCAATTCTGTCATCATAGCTGTGGATTAAAAGGCGTTCAACTCGTTCATTATGAGTTTCTGGTATAGACATTAAATTAGCAAACGTCTGCTTTCGTCCTGTGTAACTAAGCCATAAAAAAGGAAAGAAAGATCTGTAAGCATTTTGTATAATAATGGTTGCATCAATACCCCTTTTATTATGGATACTTTTTTCTTGATTGGGATTATGAAATGGGATAGATGCTGTTTCTGGTAGGGCTTTTAATAGAATTGTAATAAAATGAGAAACTTTATATGTAGTTATTGTATCACTACGACAGTACTCATGGATATTGTAAAAATCGTCTACATTGAGAACAACTAAGTTCCCGATCTGTGAAAGGTTTAAATATTTTACTACTTATTTACAAATCATAAGACTTATAAAAGAATTATATACTGTACTTACATTTTCTGATAAAAAACTTTCCACTGTCATAGTATGTGCTTCTGCATGCTGGGCTTTTTGTCTCGCAATAGTTTCATGCCTTACCGTCAAACCTGCATCAGCTAAGGTCTCTATTGCTGACGAAGATACTCCAGACGCATCTAGCAAAAGCCCAACCTCCGCTTTAATCCTGTTAATAAATTTATTACTAAGTCCCGCTAAGAAATAGCAAAACGAGACCAATCTTTTCTTATTTTTCTCATTGGTCATTTGACTCTTAGCCTGTGAGTTAGTTCCAGCTACTAATTGACCAAAAAAACCTTTTAACGATGGTTCGGCCTCCTCAAGCATTTTCTTGAAACCTTCAGGGTCGAGAATAAGTCTTTCGTTATATACGCGTTGCCTTGTATATAACACCCCTGCCATTAGTTTAATCTTTTTGCTAAGAGGAATTAATTCTAAAAATATTATGATTGTATAAGAAAGGGTCTGAAATGCAGTTACAGACAAGAAATAATTTACTTATCTAGCTTCACTTCATCAAGCTCTGCACATATGTTGTTATATGCAGCTTCCAGTTCCTGAAATTCAGATTCAGAATAAATGATATCACTTCGTAATATATATGGCCGACCTTGAAATTTTCTTATATTCTCTATCAGAATCCTTTCTGGTACTTGCGGATAATTGGACAAATTAACATATTCCAGATCAGTGTTAGTTTTATATAAGTAATGGCGACACATTATTGCCCCTCGTGGTAATTCGAAGAAATTTATTAATCGTTCTGAAGCCTTCTTGATAATTTTCGTTTCCGTATCATGTCGAGCTGTAGAAATATAGAACTGATGCTTTGGGTGTGAACATACATCGTTAGATTTGAATTTTTTTGCATTTACTATCAATTTATTGTAATATTTTCGACACAAAGCCTTGCCAACCAAGTTCAGGTGTTGACTCGAACTTGGTATCATTACTTTTTCGAATACAATAGATGCGTCGTGTTGTTCATAATCACATACGACATCCTCCTGGCCCTCCAAATCACAATGTTGAGCCTTTCTTTTTCCCTTTTTCTCAATGGAGGAAGTTGGACGGGCTTTTTGTGTAGACATTTTGCTTTATATTCTTTTTTCTGGTGATGAAAAATGCTAAAATAAAAAAACGTCATTAGCCAGTTTCTGAATTACCTTGCCGTTTACTGAATTATTTTGCTGGTCTATAAAACAAAAACTATACTTTTGATTTTTTTTGGTCACAACCTTTGCCAATTCGTTTTCGTAACTGCCAATCCATTTAAAGTTAGATGATCGTCTTTTATATAGGAATTTAATATGAGATGATCATTTTGGTGATCAACCAATCATATTTAAGCCCGCTATGCTCTTTAACTAAATATGATTGGGCCCTTTTCTTTCATTAGAAAACTCTTCAGTGCAAGAGTCAGGTGAGTCACTTTATTGTAGTCTTATTTGGGAATTTTTTTTAAATTCAGTCGCAGTGATAATAATAGAATATTCTAAATCTTTATATTAGATTTTACTTAACTAAATAAAGAAATAAAATAAAAAATTATTTTTTCAATATGATAGGTGATTTTTTTCTCCTTTTTTTCGTTACATTTTATTTTGATTAATTAATTATCTTCATTTTTCTCTTTTTTCTTTTAGACGTATTTATGCGATTTCTACAGGTTTAATTGTGTTTAATTTTATTTGAGTTTCAATCAAATTTTTTTTTCTGATTTTTATGAGATTCTTTATAGTTTACAGTATTTTCTTATTATTTAGGTTTTTTCTCTTTTAGGTCATTATTTTAAATCATATGATCTGCAACGTAATTTTAATAGCAAACCTAAGTTCTTGACTAAAACCAAATGCATTTCCCATATATCCCATATATAGAATTTCATTGTTCAGATCAAAATATATATAATTACTATTTCAATGTATATTGCGAATCTCTTTAAATGTAAGGTTTTAAATCCCAATCATTATCACCACAATATTATGAGGATTTAGAATTCATCAAAATAACTTTCATGATGATAGAAAAACTTTAGAAGCGTTTTATGACTGACAAGTCTAAACCAATTGCTAAGAACCATATTATGAATGAGGTTTAATTGAAGAAAAGAAAAGTAAGGAATATTTGGAGGTTGTATGAAGACTTGTGGATGAGCATTGGAAAGATGGTGGGTTATGCAGAGAGTGAATTAAGTTAAGGTCGAAAGAATGAGAGTGATGGAAATGATCTCAGAAAAATTAAGGTAATAGAATGGGTCATTTCACTTGTTTGAAGGGGATATTTTGCGGGATCCAGTAAAATACTGTATCTCATTATCGTATTTTCTCGATCGCTCAGCATGCTGATTGTCAAGTTTTTGCAAGTATTACTTGATCACTTTTATTTCTGTATTATTTTCGATCGCAATTCATTAATTTAAATAAATAATATATAATAATTAAATCTAACTTTTTTGAATTTGGTGATGGTGATAGCGATGATTATCTTCTTACTCAATATAAATTTCTTACGCAACTTTGTGACTTTAGCAGAATATTTTTCCTAGTCCGGAAGCTGGATTTGAGCTATTTGATTCAAAATGGATTATGTTTTTTTGGAATTAGTTCTGGTCTGTTGGTATCGCGCTTTTTCTTTGTGATGCTGGTTTACCATTGCCATCTGGAATTGTTTTATTTATATAGATCAATATTACTAGAGAACGGGAACCATTCTAGTCCAAAACATACGAGTTAATTTCTTAAAATGATGTGATTTATGTAACACAAAATTTGATTCGTCAATCAGCAGACAGAGTAGTATATAAGTCTTATGCTTCGGACAATAAAGCTTTGTAACGTAACCTTATATTTTGATCAATCTTAATTAATGATTTTCTCTCTAACTTAATGATGAATTCGCAAAGTCACAAGTAGCATGCCATCATACTTGGAATCTGGAATGGATAAATCAGATATAGTACCTGGTAAGTTATTCTTCCACTAGGCACATGTCAATTGAAACAGATCAAGCAAAAGAAGCCAAAGATGGTTGGACATCCTTCTTTTACCAAGCTTCAAAGTATAAGCTCTGCTGCGTAAATGAGCATTCCTTATATCAGTCTGATGTTGGCTGAAAGTTTAGGAAAATTTACTGCCTATTATTATAAAATAACTCTGAAGACGGGAAAACCTTTAATTCAGTCACAATTAATGGAATGCATAATATTAAAGTTGTATTAGACGTGTAAGAAACTGGTTATGTAAATAATATTGAGGATGAAGTAGCTGAGAAAATTGCATCATTTAAAATTGTTAAGAAATAGATTCAAATCTCTCTTTGTTATGTTAACAATATATATATATACTTTTTTTTTTAAAAAAAAAAAAAGATATAAATAATACTTTAAAAGAAATCTATTATGAGCAGAGCAAAGTTCTTTCAATTGCGCTTAATAAATCGAATTAACATAATGTATTAATAAGAATCTATAAGTGTTACTAGACATGGGTTATTTTTTTGCATTTTTCCGAAATGACTAGACCCATATAATAACAACTCGAATTTGCGTTCAGTAGGAGAAGATAATATTCCAAGTCGAAATTTATCATGTTATACATCCCAATTATAAAGAGAAGTATATAATTACCATCCGTCATTGGAAACTAGACGCAGTCATCATGATATTTAAGCAACTTATCATAAATTTACGAAATTAGGCCTCGCCTTTAGACCAAATTCCCACTTATGAAAGTAGCAATGATCTTTCTTTGCATAACATTTTTTTGGCGAGAACTATTGGAGAATGATAGGTTTTTCTCCTGAAAATCGAATGACGATTGCATTCTAACTTTTTTTTTATGTAAGGAATTTACTAAAGCGTTCATTCTAATATTAAATATTGTATTGCTACTAGAAAAAATATAATGAAAAACGAAATTTCGTTTGAACTTCTTCTCGACAATATTTTGAATAGGATTGGATCTTGGAGGTGTTATTGTCATTAATAGTTGGAGGATGTCCATAAGGATTTTGCCATACATTTTTTGAAAAATTTTTTTTGTGGATTGGAATTCTAATGATACATTGCTACAATGACGAAATATTTATTCTCTCATAACTGATGTTCAAGGTAAAAAAGTTTGTTGCTTGGACTTAATATATTTTAATATTTTAATAATGAGTTAGAGAAATTTATTAAGAATTGAAAAATGAGAAAAGAGAACAATTAAATCTTTTGTGTGTTGTTATCCCGATTTAACAATAATAAATATGTTAATATGTAGCAATCAAATCTTTTTTTTAAATTTGTATTCCCAAAACGGGAACTTAAATGATTATTAAATTCTTAATCTGCTTAAATAGAAATTTAACCCAATGGTCATATGTATCATAAAGATGTATTTCGGCAATGTCTACAATTCTATTACCATTAAATCCTCCTACATATACAATCTTACCCATTTGGTAATAAAGTCACTGTATAAGTTTGGCGAATTTCCAAAAATAAATATTTGTAGCGACTGCTTATGAAGGCAGATCAATCCATGGCGGAATTTCTGAAGTAAATGATTGAGTACATCAAGATAAAATACTTCATCGAAGGAATAAGAGTAAAACCGCGGTTTCCACCGAAAATATAAAGTTCCTACAAGAACTGATGAATGGTCATAGGAGTAAATCACTTGACCTCATTTATAAAATTCCTAACGTTAAAGACATAAAATAGATAATATTGACTTAATAGACATATAGTTTCAAAGGAATCATATTTTTTTTTAAAAAAAAAAATGAATAAATAAATTTCAAAAGACATGATATAAATCCTTACTCTTCAAATGTTGTGTTTTGAATGATTGAAAAAGTGAAGTAAGCACAACACTTACAGAAACAAACCGTGTAGCTGCTTAAAAACTTCATATATGCCGGTAGTCAATAGCAAGGGAAGAAATCTAAATTTGGTCAAAATTAGTCCACTTGACCGATCACATAGTACTGGAAAATTTTTTCAGATTTCCCCCTTTTTTTACCCCTCCCAAATATACAATCTAACAGAAATCTTTATAATAAATTTGTATTTCTTTAATATAATTGTTGTTTGGTATATAAGATCCTTCTTTCTAAATTGTTTCTTATGATATTAATTTTTTTTTTTTTAGTATCGATTTAAAAAAAATCTATTTAATGCAATATTTTTTATACTTTTAAAATGTCCCAAGCATACTATCTCTGACCTAAAGTCACACAATTTCAAAGTTATATGTTTATGCGGGATATTTTTAATTAAGTGCCGCATAACACGAATTGACTTAGCTCGAACTGGCTTACAAAAGCCTTATAATTTTTAGAAATTAATTAAAGACAAGATGATCATTCTTTTTGATATTACGTCTTTTTGAAGAACGGAATATGGTCTAAAAATAATGGTAAGAATTTTTTGATTTTTAAAATTTTTAAAATTTCACATTTCTTTTTATTATTAATCAAGTGGGTTATCACTTCTGGAACGTTCTCGCCTCCGTGAATTTTCCTTCATGAGAGACATTTCGAAACGCTTCTCATTGAAAATCTGAATTGGTTCGAGCCGGCTATTGCAGAGCTTTACATTTAATTGTTTTGAAATTTTATAAAAAAATGTTACACACGTTAAACCCGGGCGAATTTTATTGGTCAGATTTGATTTGTATTTAGAAATTTTCGCGGTTTTTTTTTTTTAAAAAAAATAAAGAAAAAGCAAAGAAACATTTATCTAGAATAATTTTCACGATTGTTTTTATAAAATTTTTAACTGTAAAAAATTATAAATAAACATGCTTTCTATAAAACTTGAGCCAAAACAGCCTAAACATATACAAAATTATATTTAAGAGCTACTATAAGGCCGTTGGCAAGTACTGTACAAACGATCTTCAAGGCTAACAATTTATTCGATATTTCTTCACCTTCAAACGCATTCTTGTCCTAAACTTTCAGTAATATTTTTAACAAATTGGTCCAACAATAAAATAAAGTAAAAATATAATCACTTTAGTTTATTTATGATAAGGGTCTACACCCTAGATAATTTCCAAATTTCCAAATTTTCATATGATATAAAAGTGGCCAACAATTGTCATTCAAATGATAGAGTAGCCTCTATAAATTATATGTTATACCGCCACAAATAATTATAACAAACGGGAACTAATTTATATTCTTTGAATGATCAGACATTGTATCATAAAGATGTACAGCAATGTAATATTCCTATATGTACAATCTTAATATGTCTTTGTATAGACTAGGAGAGCATTAATAATCATCAATGAATTATCCTCCAAAACATAATTTCCAGAATTATTGTTGTAACCCGACTGCCGCAAAGTTTTTACATAATTTTTTTTTTTTTTTTTGACAATTTAAATATAAGTATTTTAAAATTTTTAAATTAGCTAGGTTAATTTATTTGAACAAAATATAAAATTTAAAGTTGCAATTTAATAAAATTAAAATTCTTTAAAAAGTTAAAAGTAAGCATTTGTGATGTGTTCGTTTCGGACAATAACGCATTTGGGCTACCATGAAATAAAATGGTATAACATTTATTTAATAGGCAAATGTTGAAGAAATCATGATTTAAACTTTTTTTTTTTATTTAAAATAATTAATTTCATTCCGTTTAGTCAAAAGGAAAAATCGAAAAACTTAATAACTTGTAAAGAAATGCTTCCAATAATAAAACCTTTGGCATTTGAAAATTTGAAGTAGCACAACATCAAATGACTAACTTTAAAAAAAAAAATATCAACTATCGTTTTTCGAAATTCTCGACTAAAAAAGTTTCACAATATGCTTAATATTCATAACAAAACCTAAGGAAATTTAAAAGGATTATGATAAAGAAACGTATGAAATCAATAATTAAACTAGCTATAGAATTTATAATGTGCTAATATAATAAATAATCTTAAAAAACTTAATAGATTTCAAAAGATTAATGGATTGAATTACATATTATCCACTAGATTCACCTCACAAATTTCCAGCAATTCTTAAAGTTTTCCTTTCCTTTCTTTTTTTACGATTTATAAAGTAAAATCACATTACCAATACCTAAGATACTACAATTACGGAAATGACAATTTTCATCGTTGAAAGCTCTTTAGATAATTTACTATCAGTAGTATTAGTAGGTAATTCAGATGAATTAGTAGGTGTCTGAGATTTGGTTGCATTAGGTTCAGCCTTTGTCTCGATGTGTTCAAATGTATTAACCCAAGTATAGTTTCTGATATCTAACAAATAAATTTTCGAATTTCCATCTATAGGAGAAGCATTTTGTTGAGCAATGTTTCCTATATCGTTAACAATTAATTAATTAATAATTAACCTATTTATACAATTATTAATAAAAAAAAAAATATGTATTTACCAAAAGCAATGATCATATAATTTTCGACTAATTTTGCTTTATGATTTAAAAGTGATGGAATTTCTCCAATATTTGACGATACTTGTGGTATAATTCATTCAAATGGGGTCGTTTGAGTATTAAAAATTGCTATATTCGGAGTAACTTGAACTTCTTTAGCATCACCACCGCCACAAATAATTATTTGATCATTTGGAGCTTGTTATAAAATTGAAAAAAAATATATATATGTTAGATTTACTAAAAAAGAAAAAAAAAAAAAAAAAGCATTATATTCCTCCTTAGATATAATTACTTATCACGGCAGTATGTGAATGACGGGATCCTACCAAATTGATATTTTTTTGCAGCCTGTACGATATAAAAATGATAATTAGTCGATAGTTCATAATTTAACATTAGAAATTTATTTATATACCATCATTTTCCAAGAATCCAACTTTGTATCATAAAGATTAATTTCATTAATATTTATAAGTGTACGATAATAATCAATTCCTCCTACATATGCAATAATACCGTTTAATAATAATGTTGCAGTATAAAGATGTCGAGATGTAGGGACATTGAATGTAGTTCCATATGACCAAGTTAAGATATTTGTATCAAAGATAATCATATCATTACTTAAAGTAATTGGATTTGCAAAATCATTTGCACCTCCAAAAATATAAACCTTTCCAAGATTATCTTTGACTGCTTCAATATTCCTGCGCCTTGTTGTACTGTATTTGGCCATTTGTTTTAGGTATATTCCATTTAAGAGTTTGAAGATTAAATGTATGTACGAATGATATAAATACGTCTTCATATGAAATTGGATCGAGCATGAATCCACCAAATAGATAAATGGTTGGATTAAAGTTGTCGATTAATGAAACTGTAGCGTATATAATTGCAAATGGTATTGCCGCTGATGACGTTAGGTCAACTCATTGTTGATTTGCTGAATTAAATGTTTGAGAAACATTAAGATAAAATACTTCATTTGAAGAGGCGTACGTATATCCACCAAAAAATAAAGTCTCTTTCCTACAAGAATTGATGAGGAACCATAACGTGCAATGGGAGTAAATGAAAAAGCTTTATTAATAAATATTCCTAACATTAGCACATAATAAAGAAATAACATCATCGTCTTATATTTTAAAGAAATCATATTTTTTTTTAATAAACTTGACACACCTAACAATGATTGATGTCTAAATTAAAAATAATTTTATTTCCTCTTCTTTGTTTTCTTTTTTTTTTGTTTTTGAAAATTCTAATAATTTTTTTTTTTTGTGTAATTCTATAATAATAATTCTATAATAACTTCTTTTACAACATTCATAACGAAATCTAAGAACTCATTAGCAAGTGTAGAAGTGTGGAATCCATAGCAAGCTGGGTCTATGAAACTCTAATGAATTTATTCTTTATAAATTGATAATGTTTAATTTAAATAACTTACTAAATGTCTTTTTTCTTAAACTCCAATACCATAAGAAATGCATACCTACAATAATACCAACAGAAATGACAATTTTCTTTTTCTTTTCCTTAACTAATGTACTAGCAGATTGGTGAATTAGAATAGAAGATACTTGAGATTGAGTTGAACTAAATTTTGGGTCGTATTCGGAAAGTCAAATGTATAAATTTTTGAATGTTTTTTTTTCTTATGATAAACAGCCGCTTTAGTAATATCAAAAATTGACTAATAAAATATTTCCTATAAGATTAACAATGTGTATGTCATAATAATTAATCATAATTCTCATTTACCAAAAGAAAAATCATATAATCTTCGACTAAGATTGCTTTAAGAGATACTTACAGTACAGTTCAAATGTAGTTGCTTGAGTATTTAAAACCGCGTAACTTGTTGATATTATCGGCTCCGCCACAATTAAGTTTCGCGAACTTATAAAATAAAAAAAAATAAATAAAAATAATTTATTTACATATACCAATACGGTAGGGTAGGTAGTATTTGCAAGGGGATTCGAATTTTTTGCATTCTAACAAAAGTATAGAAAAATAACCATTTCATAATTGAATGTTAGCACATTTATTACATTATTCAATGGGTAACATTTTTCTAAATTTATATTGACCGCTTCAAATCTCTGTTTTGGGTTTATCGTCGTACCAATGCGGACTTGAATAGGTTTGCTTGTGCCTGGTTAACTAATATGGAAATGATCTGTACTATTAATCACACCATGTCACACCCTAACAAGATTCAATTTTTCTATTTATTTTAAGGACAGTAAAATATATCACGTGATTTATTTGTCACCTGGTGGTCACTAGACCATGAAATCATGGTGGTGATCACCACCCAAAACATGGTCAGACGTGCAATAGAGAAAAAACGTGTAAATATTTAATTTTAAATCGGCGGTCAATTTATTATCAATCATGCCAATCATGCAAAAAATAACGTTTAAATGTATCGGATTTTGATAAGGTTTCGGAGTTTGAATTTAATTCACAATGCTCATCGGAAAAGGCGCTACTGCATTTATGTAAAAAATTAAATTTTAGAATTATTACTAAATAATTAGAAAATAATATGATTTATATGTATATGTGAATGATGAATTAATTGAACGGAGAAATGAGGGGATAAAGAAAAAGATTTACAAAATACTTGGGTAATCTCCTGAACGAAATTTTTTTTTTTAAAAAAAAAATTTCTATATTTATATTATTATTTAAAACAAAATCATACCCAGATACCTTTTTGAATGTATCTCAATTATAAACTATATTCCTATAATTAATGCCACACTTTTTTTTTTTTTTTTTTGAATAAATATTGTTATTTTAAGTACGAGATATTTTAAGCTTAAATCTATATATATTTATATTTATAAATATATATGTTTATAGCAATTATTAAATACAAAATTTTTTTTTTGTTGGAAATATAAACCCAATTTACTATACCGATATATATATCACTTACCCTCTTTCAAAAAAATTATTCAAAATCATCACCACTACTAATCGTAGAATCACTGTCAGGTGCTGCGATTGTAGAAGCATTAGAAGTAGCCAAGGCCAGCGAATCACTTTGATTGTACCAAGACCATGGTTTATACCATTGCTGATTTATTTCAGGCCTAGAATTGCTTGTGGAAGTGGTCACGACTGACTCGTTATCATTCTCATCTTCGTCCGACGAAGAGAAGACAGGTGATGCAGAAGACGAGGAAGAACGACGGGAAAAACTTTGTCTGTAGCCTTCACCCTCGCTATCAGAATCATCAGATGTGTCCATGTTGTTGCTCGCATCTTTATAATGATCAAATATAAATGAATAAATATTCAATGACATTTGGACAACTCATAACCTTTAATACAACCAGATTTTCTCACCCCAATTGAACGAACCAGTGAACATCGATTCGTCTTCGTCTTGGTCATCGTCCGAATCCTCCTCAGACGACGATGATGAACTTATTGATTCGTCGTCCATCAAATCGTCTGCTGTAGAATCATCTTGATACATATTTCTTAATCGGGACGTTGTCGAAGCGTGTCTGTATAAGGCATTTGAAAATTCGAATTCAGAATCTGTTGGGGTTCTATAAGGATTCGAATTATGATAATTTGATGACGTTGTTGACGATTGTGATGCATTAATAATAGCTTGTGGAAGCGTATTTAAAAAATGATGACCATTGTTTGCATTATTATATATTTGTTCGTTGTTTTGATTACTAGTAGATAAATTACTCGATGAAACATTATTCAAGTGATCATTATATATGGAACTTTCATTATTTGAATTAACATGTCTAAGAGTGTCTTGATCATGAAATCTAGGCATATCATTGAAATCAGATCTTTGTGGATAATAATTATCATTTCGATACCTAGACATTTCGTTAACTTCAGATCTTGGAGTAATATCTCTAGAAAAACTTGGGGGACGACTACGTTCAAATTGGGAGTATTCAAAGTGATCATTAGATTTCGTTCATAAAGGTTGAATAACATGTTCAATAAACGATGAATGAAGATTATCTAACCTTCGAAATGCTGAACCACTATAGTTGACGACGAAAAAAAAACTAATTAATATATCAATTCTTCAACAAAATAAATTTTCAGTTATTATGAGAAACATACCTCATAGATTCAGGGTGGGGACGATTACGCGTTATTGATCGTGACCTTATTGAATCTTGTAAAATTAGTGAAAAGATTATCAGTATCTTCAAGAAGCAAATCACGAGATAATCGTACACAGTAAATATGACCATTACCAGTATGCGTTGCTCCTCTTGGATAAGTTCGTCTTCCTGACGAAGTTAATGTTTCATTTGAGCTGCTATAATATGGATTACGTGGTGGACCGAAGGTATTGCCGGTTCCACGATCATATTCGTGATCATCCTCGGATTCATCTGAATCATCGGAACTGTCAGAATCATTACTTTCAACATAATGTGTTTCATAAATTTCATCATCAATTTCAGACGGTGAATCGCTGAAATTCAAAAGTAATTTTGATTATAGTTATTTAAATCTAATAAAAAAAAATAGTAATAAACCTACTCCTCATTATCATAATAATCTTCTTCGGTGCCGTTATCATTGCGAAAGGGATGTCCAAGGTTTAATCTACCACCAAATATTGAGTTTACCACTTGTAGCACACCTACAAGATAACGATATGATAAAGAAATGATATAATAACTTTGTTAAATAATTTGTTAGATGAACATATTGTCTAATATTATCAAATATATACCGCGTTGAAAATTTGCAAAATCCAATTCGCCTGGGTGTGGCATATCATTTGTATCAATTTGATTCTGTGGTTGCTGTGGTCCATGCACAGGATGTTCCCAAATCCTTGGTTGTTTCGCAAATTTGTCTACTTCGATTCGACAATAAGGACATTTATAGTCACCTATGGTAAACGTAAAAAATTAATAATCAATTTGTAATCTCTCTCTCTTTTTTTTTATAAAAAAAGAAGAAAAGCGTGAATTTACCTGAATGGTTAAAATGTGACCTAATAAAAATTCATTAAATAAATAATTAAAAATAAATAAGGTATATTCAACAGAAAAGACCAACATTAAAGGAATTACCCTAGACAGTTCAAATGATAAATATGCCCACATGACAGTCTAACTTGAGCATGATTAGCCTCTACATGTTCAATGCATATAGCACAATCAATTGCTTCACCCTCAGCATAATGATACATCTTCTCTGAAGGTCGGTCGAATGTAGTACTAGATTTCATTCCCGAAAAAATTGATCATTAGTATTTCCTTATTCAAATTTATCTTTATATAATATCGTAGATAAAGAATATCCTTATATATATATATATATATTGGGCAATTTAACGAGTAACGTCTCCAATCCCACACACCACAAGGGGATACTATTTGCTTTTCCAAAATCTTTTAGCGATAAAGAAAATCTCAAAAAAACTTACCTCTGAGCTGGCTCTGCCGTAGTAGAATTTCTCATATTCTTTATTAAATTAAGAGCTTGATCTACTAATGGAAGATATTCTCGTCTACCTTCAGCCTCATATAAACAACGTTTATTATTTAAATAACCCTCAATCTCTTTAGCAAACGAGATCCTGAAAGTATTTTCTGTCTCCATGTTTAGTCTTTCCCCTTCTTCTAATTTAAGTTGTGTCTGTAAATTTTAATAGAAACGATATGCTGTTACAATAAATAAATGGAAATTTTAGATCATAAACCCCCCCCCCCCCCCCCAAGGAATAAGGTAAGTAATTGTCACAAAATAAAGTTAATAATATATCTGCGCGTTTAAATTTTAATTTATAATGTCAACTTACCCTAAACATATAGCACTGCTTCAAATTGGCGGGTGATAACAATCAAAGTAAATATATTATTTAAGAGAATGTAAAGAGGGATAGTAATAAGAAAATTGAGATAAATCTAGCAAGCCTCAAATAAAAATTTCTCTTATTACTATTTGAAAAGTTTTAGCTGCTTGCAGCTAAAAATTGTATGGGTAATCTAAAAATTCGGCACTACTAAAAAAAAAAAAAAAAACAAAAAAAAAAAAACTTTTTAAATAAGGAACGAGATCAAAGTAAAAAAAGTTGAATTACGGGGAATGAATAACGTGTATTTCTTTTACTAATATATTTTTTTTTTTTTATGTATGTAGGCCGAAGAAGAAGAAAATGGCTCGTAAATTTTTTTTTTTTTTTGGTGTCAGGAGACAGTATAAATCTGTATGCAAATAGATTAACTACATTTATTAAGATGACAATAATGGACTTGTTGCGTTACAATTGTTTCAAGTATTACCTATTCGAATGGGGACCACGAACGTGACCGTGGATAGCCAATGAAAAGTGAAAAGAATGCGCCTTGAATGACAATCCAACTTAAAAATGTTTTGTTTTTGTTGCATCTTCTATATACAAATTGAGTAAAGAACAAAAGAAATCAGGGAAGCATTCTCCGTTTTTGATGCAAGTGCATGCTCTAACATTTACATGATGCGAATTTGGTCATAACATACTCTATAAATTCTTTTTTTCCGTAAAACCATATTGCATTGACAATGGATACAGAAGAAATAGCAGTAGTTTCGAAGATCTTGGGGGGGGGGGGCAAATAAAGATGAGCGAATAAAGAAAATCCGCAGCAACATCAACGTTTTATGATTCCATTTAAAGCAAGCATGCGGAGAAAGGATTGTCATGTTGCTGAATTTCCAAGGATAGTAAAGAATTTAATTGTGTTTGACATCATTAAAGTTTGAAAAAAATTAGGTTACATTGTGCTTCATGCAGAATTCGCTTCAAGGGGAATTGTTTTCTGCGGCAAAGATTCCCAAATTTAAGGGAATTTATAAATGAAAATAAGGATTTAAGTAATTATTATTCCGTCACTTTCTAACTGATAAATCTCGGTTAGTATAGTGGTTAGTATCCCCGCCTGTCAGGGTAACCAGCACGCGGGAGACCGGGGTTCAATTCCCCGACCGAGAGAATTAAAATTTTTTTTTTTTTCAAAAATGATTACGGCGCAGCAAATGACGATTTCAATGTGTTTACTAACGTAAATATTAAAATGGCGTGATATTTTATTACTCTACAAAAAAATTAATGTCAGTCTAATTTTTACCTAAACCCTTATATTTATCGAGGTTTGTTGAGTTGAAGATACTGACATTTAAATTGAGTAGTGTAATATTAACTAAGTAGATCATCACGTGATTTTGCTGTTCGTGTTCATGAAAAAAAATGTAAACATTGCATGATAAAATATTATTTAATTAAATAAAAACTTTAAATATTTTGAAATTATAATTAGACTAATAAGCTAATTTAATTAATATATTTAATTAAATAAATATTTTAACATTTTAATATAATTGATATTTAGAAAATAATTTAACTACCTCATCTAGAATATGTTTTTATCGTGCTCACCAGTAGATGTAGACGATCTTGTTTTTTAATATTTTTAGTGATATCACGAAGTTTATATGAAAATTAGTTATACTAATAATAAACTATTAATAATATTAATATTACTTGTTTTATACTTTTATTAATATCTCGTAACTTGTTTCTATTTTCAATATAATAAAATAATATGTGTAAATTAGTAAATATGGAATGCTGTGTTAACTGTAAAAATTTTCAAGAAATCCCATCGCTATAATTTTAGTTTAGATAAGTTTTTGGTCATCAAGTTATAAAGATAAAAAACATTTATAATTTTTACCACGGGCTTGTCATTGATTTTCTAAGGGGGCTAATTAATATCCAAAAAAAAAATTTTCTGACGAGTATTTAGATAATTTATATCTATTTCACTTTTTGCAATAAATTTTTATCAGCTGTAATTTTGAATATCATTTGGTATTTTTAGTCGTTGACAAAAGGTGGTCTTTTTTATTGTTGCAGTATTAATTGGTTGTACTTTCATTTATATTTTTCAAAGTTAAAGATAATAAAAAAAAAAAAAAAATCAATATAATCGATGATGATTACATTAATAAATTTTCATATCTTAAAATATGGATTTTAGCATATAAATGTTGCTTTTTTATTAAATAAAGCAATTCGTCTTCTATAATAATTAATAAGTTCGTTAATATATTCTTTCCATTAGGAAATTTTAAAAGTATAATTCGTCTAAAAATGAAAATTGTTAAATTATATTATTAAACTTATCACAAAAAAGTAACAAATTTACCTTTTTTCGTGGTTCTTAAAAAGTGGTTCTTCCATTTTTTTTTTAAGAATTAATATAAAGTCAACATCATAAAATCACACGATAATATCGTTATTGTGCTTTGCGTTGATAATAATTTTGATTTTTATCAACGCAAAGCACAATAACTTATAACTATAGTTCTAAAATCGCAAGTTCCAATTTATATAGAACTGCAGTTTTAAAATCATGGTTCTATGATTCCAATATTATAGTTTAAAGACTTTAAATTGAATTAGACTTTATAAAATGTTAATCTATAGAATTTTTTTATATCTTTAATTTTATAATAAATAAAATAATAAAAAATAAAAATTACTTTCTTTCTTATTTTTTAAAATTAATAATAATTTATAATTTTAAGCCTTTTAATATCTTAAAAAAAATAATAATAATTTTATAAAAAATATATATATAAGTTTTTTTTTATTTATTAAATTTCTTATATATTTATAAATTTTACCTTTAATCTTTAATTTAAAACTTTTATATCCACTAAAAAAAAAATAATAAGTAAATATATTATATTATTTTTGTTTTTTAATTATTTTAATCTTTAATAATATATTATATTAAATATTATATTATAATATATTATATATTTTTTATTATCATTAATTTTAATAAAAATTAATTATATAAATTTAAAAATAGTTTTTTTATAAAAATATATAATAATCAACTAATAAAAAGTTAATTTTGATTTAATTTTTTAAAAATAACTAATTAATTAAATTTTTTTTAAAAAAAATTAACTTTTACTTATTTTTATTAAATTTTAAAATTTGATTTTAATAATACTTAAAAATTTTATAAATAAAGATGATTAAAATATTTAAACTTTTAAATATATTATTATATTTATATAAAATTTAAAATAATAAATATCTAAAATATTAAAAATTCATCTATTTAATATATAATATTTATTACATTAGTATTATTTTACTATTAAAAATTAATAATAAATTGTAAATTATTATTAAAATATAATAGTAAAAAAATTAAAAAAATATCATTAAATTGATTTTAAAAAAATAATTCAAATTACTTCTTAAAATTTTTAATTTATATTAAAAATAATATTATATTTATATAAATATAATTTTTAATGAAAAGAATGATGATAAAATACTTAATTTTTTTTTATTATTTTTTTATTATTTATATTACTAAATTAAATAATAAATATATTATATAATTAAAATAGATTCTTTAATAAAAGTAATGATCTAAATAAAGATAGTCCTCATAATTATTTTCAAATTTCAAATAAGTTGCAACTTAATTGCATTATAAGAAAATTTAATAGCATTATAAGTTACTACTTAATTACACTATTATTTTAATTATAATACTCATCTTTAAATTTTAACTATATTTTATAAAATATTTAAATAACTTTAAAGAATATTATCTGAAACAAAATTTCTTTAATCTTCATATAGTCAAACTTAATTTTATTAAAATATATCGATTATTTTATAGAAAAAAAGTAAAGATAAAGATTAAGAATTGAATGCAAAAAAAAATAAAATAATCTCTTATAAGATTTTTTAATAAAATTTAGTAGAAATAGGATAATCTATATTATAGTATACTTATTTAGAAATTTTTATAGTATATTAAATTAGATTAAAATATATATTAATATAAAAAAAAATGACATAAAATATTTATTAAATAATAAAAAATTTTACATTAATATTAGTTTTTAAAATAAGTAAAAATTTTGCATTTAAAATTAAAATTTATACATATTATTAAAAAAATATATCTGTCATTTTTTTTGCTAGAAACTTTATTATAATTATATAAAATCTATTTTAATTTTAATTATAAATCTTATCTTTTATTTTTAAATCTTTTAATATTTTAAATATAATAAAATATATACAGTATATATTTTTTTTATTTATTAAATAACATTTTTCTTTTTATTTAAAAATATTATTTATTCATATATAAATATAATTAAAATCTAAACAAAATATTTAATTTTATATAATAATTAATTTTAATTAGCTAATAAAATATATTTGATAAAATTTTAAAATTTTTATATAAATTTTTATAAATAATAAACATTAATATATATAAAATTAATTCATATAGTTAACTCTTAATATAGTGAACTCTTGATATAATGAATTTTTTGAATAAATATAATAAAAATATTCTTATTATAGCGAATTAGTCAATCAATTTTTTTAAATCTTCACTATAGTCTTATAGTGAAGTTGAGATCTAGGACATAGAGTTCGTTATAATAAGAGTTGACTGTATATAAATTATTATCTAAAATACTTTGCTAATACCTAATGTTTCTTAAATATATTATACAATATCTAAAAAAAAACTATATACAAGATATTTTAATGTTAATAAAATATT